AACCAGAATTGATATCAACAGCAGACGATGTAGAAATATTTTTTATTATCGCTTCTCTGCAAAGGGAATAAAAAAATAAATCAATATTTTAATTTAACAGTTCTTTTCTCTAAAATTATATCAACCGCATATTGAGTAAGAAAAATATATTAATAGTAAGCGAAATATATTTTATTGCAACTTCGTTAAACAATAATTTCACAATTGAATCATTTTAGTCTTGTATGTATTAATTTCCAGAAAAAAAGCTATAAAATAATTCCGCTGTGGCCGCAATTAGCAATAATTTAGTTATATAAATATATGTACAATAAGAAAAAAAATCACTATACCCGTGTTCCATAATAATGGGCAGTGATTCATATCCAGCACTTAGAGGAGTAAGGGAGGTGAGGGGTGCAGGTGACAAGATTCCATAGGCGTACTACTTGAGAAGGGGTCAAAGAACAGAAAATAATANCTGTGTATACCAAATTTCATTCATTTATCACAACGCGATTGAGAGATATTGCAAAAAAATTATTTCCATTCCTCCCTCTTCAATGGGTCCCTGTGCCCTTAGGAAGTGTTCAGGGTTGGCAGCTAATTATGAGACACCCTGTATTTACTTTAAAAAGCTTATAGACTCAACTTTCATCCTCTCCATATTGTTGACTGCCGTTCTTACGGACGACGTTGGCCCATCACCACCCACTTACACCTACCTGATGTGCGCGGATATCACACTTTATCACTTATAATAATACACTGAACTATACAGTGTGTAAGATAAGGATGGATATACAGTGTGTAAGATAAGGATGGAATAGCATTAGGATCTAGGAAACGATAAGAGATACGGTGTAGCTCAAAATAGAAAAAAGTTGTGTTTTTTTATACTTAACAATATGCCGTTTAGAAAGTTTTGAAATTCCGGGTAGTTCCGGAGATATCCGAAAACACCCGAAATTTTGCAAAATTGTTTAATTTTTTCTGGCTTTATTTGAAAACGAATTTTAAAATAAATTGCATATTTACAATGCCACTTTTTACGCTCTATCCAATGGGGCTAACATTTTTGCAATCCGACGTTTCGTCCTCGAGGGGCCATCATCAGCTTAATTTTTTTAAATACGTCGCTGCTATTTTTATGACAAAATCTAGTCATTTTTAATTCCAAATTAGGCGATTTTATTATTGTAATCACTTAAAAAGGTTTTTAGCTTGTTTTAGCTATCATTTAAAATTTTTCCTGACTACAGGTCAATACAGCACTAAATATCAATTTTTTTAATCAATAATTTAAAAAAGTAATACGAATTTATGAAATGTTTTATTATTTCTATATAATATTACTAATAGTAGTAAAAAAATTGTTGGATATTTTATGCTGTATTGACTTTTATACTGTTATGACTTCCTCCAATAGCGTTCAGAGCCGTACTCGGGAAAAATTTTAAATGATAACTAAAACAAGCTAAAAACCTTTTTAAGTGATTACAATAATAATATCGCCCAATAGTAATATCATCTAATTCAACATTAAAATTTACTATAGATTTTGTCAGCGACGTATTTAAAAAAATTAACCTGATGATGGCCCCTCGAAGTCGGATTGCAAAAATGTTGAAGCCATTGGATAGAGCGTAAAAAGTGGCAATGTAAATGCAATTTATTTTGAAACTCGTTTTCAAATAAAACCAGAAAAAAATAAAACGATTTTGCAAAATTTCCAGTTTTTTCAGATATCTCCGGAACTACCGGAAATTTTAAAACGTTTTAAACGGCATATTGTTAAGAAAAAAAAACAACATTTTTCTAATTTGAGCCACAACGTATTTCTTACAGTTTCCTAGATTTTAATACCATCCCATCCTTATCTTGGACAGACTGTATATACACACCCTGTTCCAAAAATCCTGCTGTACTTCCAATATGTGTTATTATCAAGCACCGCCCTCCCTTTTCTAGAAGGTGTCCGTGTAATATATTCTACAATTTAGTTTTCGAGCTTCTAATACTACTTGTCTTAAATAGTTTTTTCGCCATATCACTATTTCCTCTTTTTCTATCAGCATACTCTTACGATTTCGTTTTATAAAACGGAAATTCATGCAACGCATAGTTCGCAAAAGCATCCTTCTAAATATACTAGGAAAATTTTGATCCTGTGAGATAGCAGCCTGAATTTTTTTTATTGTCGGAAGGTCATTTTTAAAATACCATCCAGCTTGAATTACTCTCCATTTTTAAGAACACAAACCCAAAATCACTAATAAATTAATCAAAATCACAATTAAATTACGGAAAGATATCCTCGGACTTCACCCGCTCGTACGCCTTTTCCGGTGCCGACAGAATTGCCGGGAACCGAATAAACGCAACCTAATTGACGTCACGCACCAAACACCAATGAAAGGGCTAGAATTTGCCGCAGCAGAAGAATAACTGGTGCACGCCAAACGCAGCAGAAGAATATCCTAAAACTGAATTTACAAACCGGATTAAAGATGAAATCACTGCCTATTATTTTGGGATGCGACTGTAGTAATAGTTGTATACAACAGAGGACAGATAATGAATTCAATTGCAGTAGCTAAAACAGGATTTCTGCACTAGTCACAAGTCATCATCTAATTGTGGCTAGGTACTGACTAAAATTCCTTACTGAAGTAATTAAGCTATATTGTTACTGTTATTAAAACTTTCAGCTATGTAATTTTGATACATTAAATGTCTGTGAACTGTACATTAAAGATGAATAGACGAAATGCTGTAGTAATTTAATATTTTAGCTGTAGCAAATATTTTATTTCAGATATATAATAAAATTGAGTTAACTGTATTGCTATTGATGCAGTAGGAAATTAAATTTTTATTTATAGGTTAGTTTTATTTTCAATATAACATTAGAGACAAGAACTTGTTTTACTATAGGCGTAATTTTTTTACCTTAGAATGCTCACTCATTTGACTTGAATAAAAAATAGGTAGGTGGATCAAGATCACTATAGTCAATTCCAAAAAGTAAATAATGTATCGTACAGTGAATATTAATTTATTATTGGTGCATTTGATTCAAAAGCAGTTTTCTTTCGAAATTCATATTATTAACTTTTAATTAAATGTATGTTTCACATAAATTGTGATGAGAGAATTTTAAATCAACTCTTTTTAGTGCAAGATATTATTTAACAAAATATAGCAATAACAATTAAGTTGTAGTAAATGTCACAAAAATGTTATCCAAGTAAATAATTAAGCTTAGGTAATCTAGACTACAAATTGCATGCCAAAACAACACTTCTTACAAGCTATTTATTATTATTTTTAGTTAAAGGAACACCCACTTTTTTAACATTGTATGGATTTACATACAAAGATTACACTGGACTGGAATTATTGTTCATCAATATTGAAATAAAATGTCATTTATCATGACTTTTTATATATTATTTACATACGTTTTAGTTTACGATTGATTTAAAATATGTTTAGTAAGCACAACAATGATAAATGAAAAATCATGTAATACCAAATTATTGAATTCCAGTAAGCTAGCTAATACACTGTAATGATATTTTTACGAAAAACAGACTTGCACTAAGGAGAGGAGTAATAATTATATCTTAGTAAAGAACACACATCATTAGCATTGTATTTCATATTAATGAAAACTGCACATTTACAAAAGGAACCACAAACTGTATACCAGCATAATGATTAATGACGGGGACTCAAAATTATGGTTAGGATGTATGTCATCGGAACACTACGCCTTTGTTCGGGAAGCGAATGGGCGGTGAAAAAAAGAGAGTTTGCTTATCACAGCAACATATTCATTTGTGGCAGCTATCTGCACCACTATGTACAATAATACGTTTAGTTATAGCAATAATATTAAGTTTTAATAATCTTATTTACAATCTAATCACTTACTGGAAGTGAACTTTAAATTTCAATAAAACACTAGCAATCACAAATTATGTAATCATTGATTTATGCAAGTGTAGTCTTATATTACTTGTGATTGATAATTATTTTTTTTTAGCAACATGGTTTAATTTTTCTCAAAGTATTATTCATTTATTCTAAAGAATCAATAAAACCCAGTAAAAAATTATTTTGAAAATCAAAATGCAGTTTTCACTGTAAGCGTTCATTTAGTCCAATCGTTTTCTGTAAAACCACTTTTTTCCAAATAGTTTTCTCATGTCATTCAAAATTTGATTTCCTCGAATCCAATTTACTAAAATAATTAGTGAACCCAAATAGTAACTTTAGTGGCACGACGTGTTTATTACTGTAGGTAATTTAATTTAGAAAAGTTGTTTAAAATATGTTTTTTTTGTCAATCTTTGAGTGTAAGCAGGTTACAAAATTTCTCGTTTTCAGGCTTTTAATTTTATTATGAAATTCCTCATGCTCTATTTGCAATTTAGTTTTCCAAACGGAACACCCTGTTTATTATTGCATTTTTATTTGATGTCTAAAAAAATTGAATTTTCAACATCCTCGAAATTATCTATATCTCCAAAACTAAATGTTGTAGCAAAAAGCAGTTTTCATCACTCCACATTCGAGCATCAAAAAAACTATTTTACACATTTAAACTATATGGATAACTTAGTTAATTTATTTACATGGGACACTGCATGTTAAATTTGACGCAAACAAGATATACATAAACTTAGCAAACGGTAGACATTTTGAGTAATTGTTATTGTAGATCTTTTCAGTTTTTTTTTTTTTCTAAAAATTTCGTACGTTTTCTCTTTAATAATTATTTTATTATAGTACGCATTTTTAAGCCACTTGTACCGATTTAATATGGTCATCATATTAAAAAATATATAGGTTCTTTGATAAGGATTGTATTGCAGAAGGAAATGTTTTATTATAAATTAAAATGAAGAATTCAATTTGGTAAAATTTTTATTTGATACGCTTTTTGTATTATTGATATTGCTATTAAGAATCAGTCTTAAATGGGACACCCTGTATGTATTACTTTTTTTAAGGAAACCTGTGAAGCTGCCGAATTTCTAGAACTGCCTCAGCTATTAGTACTGCTTACAAAGCACCCTTTCGTGGCTCCCGACCCCCCGGACGAAAATTACGAAAACTTTCTGAAACGGAGATTGCAGGATATCTGCTTGGACCAAGCACTTTTTGCGGACGTCATATTCGAACTCGACGACGGTGCATGTGCAGCTCATAAGTCGATGCTGGTCGCAAGGTGCGACGTTATGAAGGCCATGTTTAGTGGAGACTTTCGAGAAAGTCAAGCTAAAGTGGTAAGTCAACATATAGCAATATTTGCAGAAAGCGTCTTTTGGAAAGGACGCTGTTATATTCAAATTCACTGGGTTTTACAGATGGCAAAATGCTTGTATGTATAGATAATCATATACAGAGTGTCCTACCAAAAAGGGAAAGGGGCGTGATCTTATTCTTAAAATGTATCTGAGCAGTTGTCTCCCTTAAAACAAATATTAATGCCAATTTTAATGTTTCATTGTATTGTTTTTCAATATTCATAGATATTTTCTCTGAGACGTATTCCAAAGTACACAGGGTGGTCCTTAAGTAATTGTATATAGAAGTATGATATATTTGTGACTAAAATATTACGATTTGTGCCAACTTGCCTTAATAAAATATTGATAATAAGAAAGATACAGGGTGTTAAAAGTGAAATTTCAAAATTTGTTTTTCGCAATAACTTGAACGTTTTTGGACATTTATACAAAAAAATTTTTATCTGGGGGTTTTTTTGTATGAGAAATTATAATTTGATATCTAATTTAATGAATCTTTTAGAGGGCGCCACATAAGCCACATGTGTGGCATAAACAATACACTAAACTTTTTTGCCCATCAAGGTAGCGCTCTTTTGGAAAAAAATATTAAAGGCACGGCATTGTAAGAACAAAAATGTATACTTGTTAACATCCTCTAAACTTAACGGTTTTCGAGATAATCGAATTTTAAAAATCGGCTACATAATTCTTCAATTCATTACGAGAAATAGTAACGTAGTAGACTGAAGTCACGAATGATTTTAACAGCTAAACATTCTTGTTTTCATAATGTATGACATTTGAAAAAGTTTTAATTGAGTATTTATGATAATTAAGGAATAACAGAAAATGCCGAGACAATAATTTCTCTAATACAGAAATGAGAGATATGGTTACTATTTACTGTCAGCAATATTTCAGGGGACGTACTGCGAAATGGGAATATTTCAGAAGATATCCAAACAGGCTGCAACCTAATCACCAAACATTTGAAAATCTATTTAGGAATTTAGGCGAAAGTGGTTCATTTCGTCCTAAACGTGATAATTTAGACCGACCGGGAATCATTACGCCTGATCAAGATGATGAAATTGGTTCACGTTGCAGATGATCTTCAAGTTAGTACAAGAAGCTTATCTTCAGCTTTAGGAATCAGTAAAACTTCAGTTTTAAAAAGACATCTCGATAAATATCACCCCTACCATTTTACGCCTGTACAAAATTTATTGCCAGCAGATCTACCATTAAGATACCAATTTGCAAATGATATCCGAAATAGGCAAAATCTTGACCCCACCTACCTTTATTAATAGAATATTATTTACGGACGAGGCAACATTTAGCCGCCGTGGTATTTTTAATTTAAGAAATAATCATATCTGGGAAATTGAAAATCCTCATTTTAAAAGAGAAAGATATTTTCAACACGAATTCAAAATAAATGTATGGTGTGGGATCATTGGTGACGATTTTTTTGGGCCATACGTTTTCCCGTATACTTTGAATGGTGAGAACTACTTACATTTTTTACAAAATAACTTCATTGATCTTTTGGAAGAATTGCCACTAAATTTCAGGCAAAATATGTGGATTATAGAAGATGGTGTTCCTCCTCATTATATGAGAGAAGTCAGAACATATTTAAATACCAACTTTCCTGAACGCTGAATTGGTTGTGGTAGTCATTTCCCTTGGCCAGCACGTAGCCCAGACTTTAATCCTCTCGATTTTGGCGTATGGGGCGCAATGAATCAACTTGTTTATAAAAGTCCCATAAATACTCGCAACCAACTTTGGGAAGAAATAAATGCAACTGCAGTTTCTTTTGGACCAATCATGTTATCTAATATCAGACCATCTTTTATGGAACGTATGGACAAATGCTTCGAAGAGAGTACTTACTTTGACATAATTAAACTTGTAATGTTAGTTAGCTTAGTGTTTTCTTTTCTTAATATGTGTAAAATTCTTTTCTAATTATGATTATTTAGCTTATATTTTAACTGCTTTTATCTAATTTTAAAAATTTTTAAATTTTTTGTCAACTCCTACTATTACGTTAATATTCATCCTGTTGATGTAAAAACATGATAAGCGTATACGATTTCTACGTTAATATTTCTCGTAATGAATTAAAGAAGAATTATGCAGCCGATTTTTGAAATTCGATTATCTCGAAAACCGTTAAGTTTAGAGGTTGTTAACAAGTATACATTTTTGTTCTTACAATGCCGTGCCTTTAATATTTTTTTCCTAAAAGAGCGCTACCTTGATGGGCAAAAAAGTTTAGCGTACATTTATGCCACACATGTGGCTTATGTGGCGCCCTTTAAAAGATACATTAAATTAGATACCAAATTATGATTTCTCATACCAAGAAACCCCCAGTTAAAAATTTTTTTGTATAAATGTCCAAAAACGTTCAAGTTATTGCGAAAAATGAATTTTGAAATTTCACTTTTAACACCCTGTATCTTTCTTATTAGCAATATTTTATTGGCANTTTACGTACCCACTTAAATGAAACCACGCTTCATCAGAAAAAAATGTTAGATCTAGAATATCGTCGTCATTCAGATTTTCGTTAAACCAATTACAGTATTGCACACGTTTTCCAAAATCTAACGGAAGTAGTTCCTGCACAACACTAACTTTATAAGGATGAAAATGCAACTTCTTTACTGCTTTATGGCATGATCCATATGATATTCCTATAAACAATTTAGGAATAATGATACAAATTTTAGAATAAATATTTGTTATTAAGTACCTGTTTGAGCAGATAACCGACGTAGTGATTTGGTTGGACTAGCTCGTAAGCGGTTTTCAACATCTTCCAAGACTTCCTCTGTAAGAATAGACTTTCTGCCTGGAGATTTTCCTCTACAAACACTTCCAGTGTTATGGAAGCGTTCCACTAATCTCTTCACGTGTCTCGAAAAAATTTCATAATCAATTTCATCATTTGGAAATTGTTCTTGAAATTGTAAATGACACGAATTCATCGAATATTTCCAACCATTACCATTGTTTTGTCCACTACGAAAATAGGCCTCCAGAAGAAATTTATCATGTTCTAATGAAAATGCCATGTTAACCTAAATTAAAAAACCGATTAGGTTAGAGAACAACATACGCAATAAATTAATTACTCACGTATAATATCCACCTACTCTAACTGTAGTATTGAAAAATACTGTTTTATAATGTCGCAAAATATATCAGGTAACAACAAAATCTACAAAATAATATTCAAGCCAAAAAATCCGTGCGCCAATGAACAGAACGTCAAATTGTGAAATCGCCACAGAATACCATGAAATCGCACGGAAAAAAAGTAATTTTAGCAAATGGAAATCAGTTTTGATAGCAATTGAGACAGGGTACGTTCAGAATCCGGTCAATCATTCTCGATCTCTCTGTATATTTGAATTATTTATCATTTTAATAATCTCTGCGTGAGTAGATATTTTTAAACATTACTTTCTAACATTTTTATAGTTTAGAGTATATAAAAAAGAACTACAAAATCATAATTCCCTCTGCAAACTGTGATTAAATAGTTGTAAACTAAGTACTTTCGATGCTGCTAAAAAAATGTATATACAATGGTTATATAAACTAATAATACTCATTGACTGATTTGGTTTGGAAAAATAATGTCCAAGATTTTTGGGGAGCCTTAAAGTCTCCCGTTGTAGGAATTCTCATTGTGGCTCTCATACACCACATCTGTACATATTTATATCGAATCACAAAGGGAAAGGAAACTGCACCAAATTGAAAAAAAAACATTTATTTTCTTTAATATTACATGACACGAAAATACAAATACGCTAATTATCACAAATAATAATAACTAACAACACGAAGTTAGTTAGATTTTCATTTTGATATAATTCAACATTTTCTGTTTAATTTTCATTCTCCAGGTCTGGCTCAATTTAAAAGTTCTTCTTCCAGGAATTTTTGATAGTCACATGTGTATAGCTATCCTCCAACTCAAAAACTTCACTTACTACCAACACTTATTATTTTCATAAGTGTTTATAGAATGTGACGAATATTTATACACGTCGATCTTAATTCCTTTGCTGCAAGTTTATTATCCTCGCACGCCATATATCTTCGAAATTTTTTTATAAAAATGTTTACTCTTGTTAGCAAGATTAAAATTGTTTTTGGCAGCACCTACCTATCCACCGTTTCTTAACAGAGAATCTTTTGAGAACGTGTAGAACTAACAAATTCGTCAGCTTCTTTTTCCTACTTTGTTACTTTTATCCACGTATCCACACTATAAAATGGGCCTCCAGAAATATAACTTGGCGTAGTTTTAGATAAAAGTTTGTGCGCTCAATAGAACTTAAAAAACAAACTAACAGTAAAGAAACAAAAAACCCAGGAACAACACGTGACACTATGATGCAGGACATAGATCAAAACTGAAATTTAGTAAATTTATTAAGAAATAATGACAATGATTGATGTTGAGATTATTCAATTTATAATACCAATGACGTCACTCAACAGCTCGATGCAGAACTGGCACAAAGGGAATCAGCAGTTTATAGTCTACCTCATACTGTAGCAATATTGTACCATCTATTTTCACACCACTGTTATTCTGCTATAAAATTAAAATTCACAGATAAAACACCACTGCACCAGATGTATTTTGCTCAAATACCCAAACTTAATCTTAGCAGGTAGTGAGAGACAAAAAATAGGATTGGCATTTCTTATATGATAGCATATTACCTCGTACTTATGCATTCTCTACAAAATTTATATTTGTTAAATATTCAAATTCAAATGTGATCTAGATATCGAATTTGACTGAACTTTTAAACCAGTATAGTAATCCATATTCTAATAGACAGTGACTTAACCACATGGTCCAGTAAGCTTAAACTGTAATTTAAATTTCAATAATATTCTGAGACTTAAGAGGCTAGGAATATTACTTAATAAATGACATATGTTCTATTAAAGACACTTTATTACATATTTAAACTACTTATACTAAAACCAGCTCTTCTTGTTCAATTGATTATACTTTAATACATTTATTTTAACTGAGGTAGCTATTTCTGAAGCATTTTTATTTTGTCCATAATAATCTACAAACTCACCGTCTGGGTTGACTAAATACATGATAATTGTGTGGTCAACCTACAATAAAAATATATATTACCAAGTATTTTTTTACATAAAATAACATGTTCTTAATTTGTTTGAAATATCTAAATTGTCTGCGATGTTAATAATTTGTTGATTTTAAAGCATATATTTCTAGTAGAATAATAGTAGATATTAACACTTATTAAGAAAGGAAACATCAGCTCATCGAATCGTTATACTTACAATATAGTCATTTTCATCATCCTTTGGCCCCGAACTAAAATACACTCTGTATGCTTTACACGCCTTGCCTACTTGATCTTCACTGCCAGTAAGACCTAATAATCTTGGACTAAATTCTCTACAATATTTTCCAACAACTTCAGGTGTATCTCTATTTGGATCAACTGATATAAATATAGGTTGAAATTTTGGCATTTCCTCCGATGCATCTATAAAAATTAAAATACATTTCTTGTTCCTTATTATTTGATTTATATAGATTACAATCTATATTTATTATATTATNTTTAGCTTATATTTTAACTGCTTTTATCTAATTTTAAAAATTTTTAAATTTTTTGTCAACTCCTACTATTACGTTAATATTCATCCTGTTGATGTAAAAACATGATAAGCGTATACGATTTCTACGTTAATATTTCTCGTAATGAATTAAAGAAGAATTATGCAGCCGATTTTTGAAATTCGATTATCTCGAAAACCGTTAAGTTTAGAGGTTGTTAACAAGTATACATTTTTGTTCTTACAATGCCGTGCCTTTAATATTTTTTTCCTAAAAGAGCGCTACCTTGATGGGCAAAAAAGTTTAGCGTACATTTATGCCACACATGTGGCTTATGTGGCGCCCTTTAAAAGATACATTAAATTAGATACCAAATTATGATTTCTCATACCAAGAAACCCCCAGTTAAAAATTTTTTTGTATAAATGTCCAAAAACGTTCAAGTTATTGCGAAAAATGAATTTTGAAATTTCGCTTTTAACACCCTGTATCTTTCTTATTAGCAATATTTTATTGGCAAGTTGGCTCAAATCGTAATATTTTCAAGTCACAAATCTACCATACTTCTATGTACAATTACTTAAGGACCACAGTGTATATATTTAACTACTGTTTCGTTACAACTTTTTAAACAAATATTTATTTATATCAAATTAATCAGATATCAATTACGTCATTTGCATTAAATATTTCCGATTTTTGTATCGTATCCTGGTAAAAATAATATAGTGATTTTTCAAATATTTTCAATTTCAGATCGAATTTCCGGGTGTAAGGGAATACACATTTCATAAATTATTATGTTTCTTATACACTGATGAAGTACCAGCAGTATCTGCAGCCCGTTGCGTAAACCTGCTGGAACTGGCAAATAGGCTGTGCTTACCCAGACTTGTCAATTTGGTAGAAAGAAGAGTTATTGAAGATCTCGAGCGTTTACAGGCGTCAGAAGCCATCGAGCAATGTTTAAGACTACTAGAACCTGTTAAAGTAAGTATATGTAGAGTACATCCCATTTTTGAACATTTTTCAAGAAATATAAATAGTGCTTGTCATCAGAGAAAACATATCACCATAATATTATTTATTTATTTAATTCAAAGTAAAACAAAAACATCACACTAAAGTGATAAAATGAATGTTATTCTCTGTTGCCTTTACTAAATGCATCAGTCTAATTATTAAAAGTCCGGTTGTGTCTTCAGTATAGTAACCAATTGTTTGAAGTTTGAACGACATTTATATTAAAATTTTAAGTTTTTAAGATAAATATATTGCTTTATTTAAATAAATATGTAATATTTGCTGCTATGTTCTATAATAAAGAGAAAAACACTCAATTTTTTAATAAGTTTCTATTTACCTCAAATTATGAAAATTGAATTTGTTTTTCTTCAGCCAGCCATATATGACACATTTTTGTAGTTGTATTTTATTTGTTTTTTGTCATGGGCAACTCCGTCTCTTTTCTTTACATTTCGATAAAAAAAATCAGTTATAACTTTATACTATACTATATATAGGATGTTTATTAAGAACTTGTACAAACTTTAAAGGGTGCATATTTGACTAATTTTAAGATAAACCTACCTACACTGAATTTTACATAAAAAATTTATAAAGGAAAGTTTCAATATTTCAGAAAAAAGTTTAACTATAAGCACTACAAAGGTCACACAAAATATAAAAAATTTGATTTTTTGGCATGACCTAACTAAGAAAACAGAAAATCTGTAATGACGTGAATTTTTTTTTCAAAAAAGTAACTACAACTTTCTATCTTTAATAATAATCGAGATACCCTAGACCAATATTGAAATCGGGGTGTGCCGTATAAGGCATTAATGAAACATTATACAATATTGTAATAATTTTCAGCTGCACAATGGGCATCAACTGGCAGATTGGTGTATGAATCATCTGAGCGTAAACTACAACAAACTGTGCAGGATGTCCCCTAGGAGTTTGCGGTTGCTGCACCCCGACAACCAGGCATATCTAGTGGAACATCGTTGGCCACCTGTGTGGTATCTCAAGGACTACGATTATTACCAGAAATGTCTGGCAGAACGCGACAAAGAACTAAAACCCGCGATAAAAACGAGTTCGGGCTGTTTATGCTTCTCTCGTAAGTCAGAGTCCGATCCGGCACTGTCCTCCAGCCAACTCTGACCACTACTGTGACTAATTTCAAAATGCATTTATCCATTTCATGTCACTATTCATTATTGTCTAACATATATTTAGAATAAGTGTAAGTTATGCAAGTGCAAGTCCAATTTTTGCTCGGTATATACCAAGCAGTTTAAGCAAGATATTCCAAAAAGATTACAGGGTGCTCAATTACTAATCGGCCAAACGTCGCCAATAGATTCTAGATAAAAATTAAGTAGGGTAGTTCAAGTAAAACTTTCCTCAGAAAAAGTTTTTCTTTCGAGATACTTGAAGATGGACAAATTAAAATTATTTTCAGATATAGGTATTTCAGAAACTCGTTATGCAATTTTTTTTCTAATTTGACGAGGCGAGAACTGATGAAAACCTCTATTATCAGATACAATTTCATGTGCAAACCAGTAGTGCGCTAACTTTCAATTTTTTACTGCAGTTATCAATTATTAACCACCAGTGCATTTTCAGTCTAGTTAAACATTTTTTTATTAAATAAAAAACATTGAAAACTTGAATATCATTTCACATTTATAAAAAAGACCCTAAAAAGAAATTTATGCAAAACTGGTTTCTTTGTATTTACATGAATCTGTAGCATCCACGTTAGTAATCTTCATGTCAATAAAAAATATTTCTAAGCCTTTCCAAGATATATGCCTAAAAATAATAGTTTCAATGTTTTCAACACCCTGTCTCTCTGAATCTCTGAAGTATCTTTCGACAAAATTTGATTTGAACTCCAATTTTTATCACAGAATCTATTTGTGACGCTTGGCCAATTAGAAGCTGAACATCCTGCATAAATAATTTTAAAATTCCTCTTCCCAAGATAGAGCGAATTAAGAAAAATTTTCTAGTTTGCAACAAAGAATCCATGAATTCAAAACTTTTTGCACCAGATTTTCCTTATAAATTTCTCTATTCCTAAATCCCATTTAAGTCCTAGGTAGTTTGTAAATTTATTGATTCAAAAACATTCCAGGGATTTGATGTGTACCATCACAACATTTTGCAAGTATTTAATACTTAAGAAAAGGGATATTTTGCCTTTGATGCTTGATATACTTGCACGATTTAGATTTTAAGGATCTTTATAGAAAAGCTAGACTGACCTGATAAAAACTCTTTTTAAAACTATTCTTATATACTGTTTAAAAACCATGTTCCATCAGTATATATAAGGGTCAATTTTTGCCAATATAGATATAAGCTATAAGATTAATATCTAAAACATTATAAGTTCACGTTTTTATATTTAAATATAGAAAAACAACTCATAAGAACTCATTAGAAACGGCTTACATTTTCGCACTTCCTATACATAGAATCGTCCACTAGGTACTGCTTTTTATTAAAATATAATTAATAATAAACTTGAATTTTGAAAAGATCTCAGAGAATAGAACTATTAACGTAGATACTTTTAATATAAAATTACTTTTTACTTTACGTCAATTAATTTGGTCAAGAGTTAAGATATTTGCTAATATTTTCCATATTAGTGACTTTATTCGTGAAATGACAAAATATTTTAAACAAATTTTTCTAACATTTTGGAGTAAGTTCTATTATGTATGTAGTGACTTTTAAGGCATGTTCTTTAAAAGTTCACAGTAAATAATATGTAGAGTGAAGACAGAGGAAACGAAAGTACTATTTGAGTATTTCTTTATAAAAAATACACTACTCACACACATAATTATATTTTGCTTGTGTGCTGATTACAATATATAAGGGTCCGTCTAGTTATTCAAATTAATTATTCGGTCTTATAAAAGAACTTTCAATTCACATGAATATTGAGATTCAGTGTTTCACTGTTTATTTATTCGTTTAGGACCAACTTGTTGATGGCATACTAGGTGCTCCCTATTTTACTTTGCATATTTTTTATTTTGTATTGTAAATTTGTTTGTAATATATATAGAAATAATAATTAGTGTGGGATATACTGTTTAAAAATTATATAAGAGGGTAGATGTAGAATAGTTTATATGTATCAAAGTACCATGTTGAGTATAACCTACATTAATATGACCAAAAGTTTGCTTTGTTGTATATACCTACATATAAGTTTAACAATAGGAGCCTTAGATGAATCCAAATACCGATTTATTGAATATCAACTTGTCAATTTAATCTATGGGAATTGCATTTTATTTTGCTTCATAGAGCCAAATTTTTAGTTTTATTTTTTAATAGTTTCTTTTTTAACAAATTTTACATTCTGATTATATAAAAAGAAAAATTAAAATTATCTTGTTAATATTTACTTTCATCACTTACCCCGATGACATACTATCTAACTGCCACTTTTAGTATTTAGTTGAAGAAAGGTTTAGAAATCTGATGCATATTTTGTTCTGAAATAAGTTAAAATTTAGACTAATCTGATTTTCGTATCTTCGAATTAGATTAAATATTTTGTTAATTAGACTTCTACTTTATACAGAATCAAATGTAAAGCTTTAAATTTGTTTAAATTTATTATTTATTTAATAGTTCACAGGGAGATAGAAACATTCCAAAATACTTTTACCTACTCAACAATCATGTATGTGTGCAATAATTTGCTATTCTAATAAACATTTGTATTAAATATTACCATCTTTTATTTCTTCTTAACTACAGAAAATATTCTAGAATCTGATAACTTTCAAATAAAAATACACAGGTAATTTGCAAAATAAATTGAATTTTTGTTTTGTTTCCCTTTGTGGGTACACATGTTGCAAGTGACTTATTTTTAAGTACAATGTCAATAGCGCTATCCTGACGTACTGGGTTCCCGGAAGACAACCCCGGCAGATTGGCGCCAAGGATCAGATACTTCTGAGAACGACTCCACACCACGAGGACAGACTCTCCAGCAAACACTCGAACTGACAACACAAGTTTAGTTTTCAATAAAAATACTTTATTTGTACCATTGAGAGAGCGTTTCATTTTTGCTGTACAGTGAAAGTAACCCTCACCTTAATATTATCATCAAAATTTAGTTAATACTAAAATCTTTCGTATGCCAGTTCTTTAAATAAATTCAATATTTATCATTTCAGTCACGCTTAAATTTCTACCAAATTCTAAATAAAACACCTATTAAAAAGGTATTTTATATTTAACAAAAATATATCTAGTTTTAAACTATACACTATTATAAGGCAATGCCAAGGTTTGTTATTTCTTCCTTAAGTTCATTGAAAGCATCCTCATACTCACTATGGGGTCTTATCAACACAGTTAAACAACCTCGTTTAACTCCTAATGCTGCACCTAGATCTTTTCTGCTAGGTGTATACACATAAGGAATATCCTTCTCCTCGCATACTCCTGGTAAATGGCACATAATTTCAATGGGAGCTACGTCTCCAGCAAAAATTACTATGCCCGTTTCTCCTTTTCGAATTCTTGTTTGAACGTCTTTTAAGCCACATCTAATGTAAGTCTTATGTTTCACCGCTGCAAAAGAAAAAGTTTTTAATATAAAATATTTTTAAAAAATTACAAGAAACTAACCCTTCTTCACTAACTTGTAAATTTTTTTTGCCAACTTTTTAGATGCCATTGGTTTAGCGATTACACTACAATGTGATATCTTTTGCTCGTACGTAAGTTCTACTGGTTCTTCTGTTTTTATTGTCACATCAGTAGCCATAATATCTTCGCCTTCAGTTTTACGTTTCCCCATTATTACTATTTATATAGAATTTTAAAATTCACGTGCGTTTGTTTATTAACCTCCAAAGAAATATATCTTCTTCTTCTTCTTTTTTATTGGCCTTAGCCAGAAGAAATATATCATTTTTATTTAGATTAACGGATGCCTTTAATTACCAACATAGAAATGTGATTTCCACGGATTCACAGAACACAGAACATAGGTTTACTTATGATGCCAATCTTAAAATTTTGCTGAACGAAAAAGTGATCCTGAAGTGTTATATGTGCCGTTTTTTTTTTGCTTTGAATCATGATCACTGAATCAGGATCAGACAAACACGAACTAGATCCATGAATTCAATTTCGAAGAGAACAGGATTTTATTTAATGTTGACATTTGATTTGATTTTAAATATCATTTAAGGTATACGTATTCTTCTGTGCACAATTAAACAAAAAATATTAAAATGGTAACTGCCTTCTTAGAAAAAAAGGAACCACCACAATTTTAAGGTTATATTAAATATGTGATCGTGATCAAAAGTCGAATCACAAAAAAGTTTGATTCATAGGTCAGCTCGGCTGTCCGCTCGGAACCGAGGGATTGCCGATCCTGATTATATAACATGATCCGGAAACAAGGAAATAACTACGAATATGATTTTGGGATCATATTCAAAACGCGTTTAGATCCGAAAACGGTACCCGAAAGAAAGTAGCTATGGTTATTATTTTGAGTATAATCATTTAATATAGATAGCATAGCTTATAAAATCAATAGTACAGGCGTGTAATCAGGCGCAAATTATATGTCACGGTTAAAATCCGGTCATTTGGTTATTTGCACAGATCCAAAAAAGATCCCCAAAAAAGGTTAAAAATATTGATATTGTTATTCAGTGGTATGCAGCTATTGCAGCATATCTGAAGTGGAATACGTCATCGGTATATTAATTTGACTCCTATCCTCTAACTCAATATTATACAGGGTGATCGAGAATGATTGACCGTGCCGCCTCATACTGATTTTTGATGTGCGGCATACCAGTTTTTGATACCAATACTAGAATCATGAGCGCAGGTTGAGGGATTTTAATGGTAAACAAATAATTACGTTCAAACGTCAAATAAATTAGGTTACTGTCAAAATGGAAATTCATAATAAAAATATCAATTATTTAACAAAAATCAAAGTTATTTCACAAATTAAGCAATACTGATGGACCAATAAATGTTATTATTGTTATTATTATTAAAGAGGATGACAGAATCAAATGTAGGTTTAGCCTAACTTTTCCAAAATTCTTATTTCATTTACAATTAGAAAAACTTTTAAATCAAAGTTTGATGTAGCTAATTTTGAATAACGACTGTAAGTGCTTCAGCGATTTTATTTTTAAAACGTTATGAGTTAATTTTAAAACAGAAGCACTATTGTGGCTACATTCTTGGCATCTAAGACGATTCAGCTATACAGCGATACGCTGCAAGCTGCTGTTTTTCATCAAAGCAAACTGCTGTATGCTTATAAGACGACTATTTTGCAGCTACTGCTTTCACACTTCTGAATATCCAGCGCAAGCGATCCAGCCCAAAAATTTATGCTGAACATTTTAGTTAGCTGTCGAAATTCAGGAA